CATCCAAACGGAAATCACGACATACATGTTGCACATGAGAGCAAGGAATCCCAAACAAGGTCCACTTATTACACGAGCATTCTTTGGCCCTAAGATCGACACAATGTGTTTTTCCTCCACCTCCTTGAGGTTTTGCCCTGGTGAATACCTCACCAGCGTAGTTGCGAGTGTTGAACCTTCTCATGTAATGGGTCGTCGAATGTTCCTCCCATAATTTGAACTTCTTCAATGGAAATTCGGCCCATCGTTGTCCCGATTGCTCCCAATTATTACCTTTCGCTACTCGATTAATAAAGTGCTTAACCACTCGATGAAATGTAAAATCCACAATAGCTGTGACAGGCAGTTTACGAGCACCTTTCAAAGCACCATTGATGGACTCGGACAAGTTGGTCGTCAACTGACCGCGTCGAGACCCTCCATCATGTGCTAAAGTCCACTTTTCTCGATCCATGTTCATCAAGTATCTGTGTGCATTGGGATTTTCCTCCCCAATCTTGTCCAAATACCGGTTCAGCTTCCAAACCTGAGATTGTTTTCCAGCATCGTAACAAAAATCTTTCACCACAATGCTCTTAAACTTGGCGTTGACATTTGAACAAACATGCCTCAAACAAAATCGATGGGTGATGCGAGGGGGCCTACACTCGGGCATTGAATCGATGGCACTTAAAATACCGGTTCCTCAATCCGAAATTATACAAATACCATCTGATATGCCCGAAAGTAAATGTTTGTCAATGCATTTGAAAAACCACTTCCATGCACTTGCGGTCTCTTCATCAACAATTGCATACGCAAGTGGTAAAACTTGTTGATTCGCATCCAAACACACAGCAAGCAACATCTTATGTTTGTACTTAGTGTACAAATGAGTTCCATCGACGCTGATCACCCGACGACAGTATTTGAAACCATCAATACACGGCTTGAAGGCCCAAAAGACGTATTTGATTATGAATTTCGATGGATGATTTGTCGCGTGATGTTCCCACTCAACAGCTGTGCCTGGATTCCTTTGTTGCAGTGCTTTCATAAATTTTGGCAACCTCTGGACCGAACTCTCCCATGTTCCATATACATTTTCTCTGCATGGCTTCAAAGTGTACCATGCCTTCATGTAGGATATCTCATATCCTATTTGCGCGGTCACAATCTCTCTTGCCTTTGAAATCTCACAAACTGGATTTTCACGAACACTTTTCAATAGAATTGCGGCGCAATAATTGATGTTCAAGTTGCCATGATTATTTGTCATCCCTTGCATACCGCAACTATGATCGCCATCGTAGATCCCAATTCTAAATTGTCCTCTATCCCCAATTTTTGATGCCCTTAGCCTCCATCTGCAAGGTCTTGCTTCAGTGTCGTGTTTGCAGATAACCTTCCAAGTTCTTTTTGTACTTTCGATAACTTTAAACTCTCTTCTGGCAAATCGAATGGAGTGGTCTCTAACGGCTGAAATGACCCTTGCTTTACTATAAAAAATCATCCCCTTTTCGAGAGTACCTTTGCTGCTATCATAAAATTTTGACCACATACCCGACGGAACATCAATGGAATCGGCTGGGATTTCAGGAAATGACAGAGAGTAGAACGAAGGTGGATCATAAAACTGAGTAGGAGGTTCTGCAAATGATGGATTGCTGAAATGAACATGGGAAGTTGATGGAATTTCTGGCTGCGATATTGTTTGTACAACGTCATCAACGGCTTCGATATTCTCATCATTGTTCTCTTCACCACTATCATCATCGTCTCCATGGTCGGAGGGTTCAGAGTCGCTTCGAACATTTGGCCCATGTGCGTCTCCGAAAGGATCATCGTCATCATTATTATCACAATGACGAGTTTCATTAGGAAGATCAAAATTTTCATGAGCATTTCTCATGCCACTTGAATCCCCAATATGTACCCCAAGATTTTGATAAGAATGCCTCGATGGCCCCGCTTCAAAGCCCATATTAGAAAACCCTTGTGTAACCGCAACTAACTCAGGACTTGTTTGCATAAATGAATTGTACGCATCATTCAAATCAAAATGTTGTGAAGGTCTCGAAGGGGAGTAGAGAGGTTCTGATGTAGTGAATTGTGAAGGTCTGGAAGGGGAATAGAGAGGTTCTGATGTACTGAATTGTGAAGGTCTCGAAGGGGAGTAGAGAGGCTCTGATGTAGTGAATTGTGAAGGCATCAAAGGATTGTATAAAGGCTGAGACTCAACATAAACATCTATGGAATCGTTTCCTTCATCCGGGTGCAAATAGATTTCTATATCATCATCACTTGTTATCTCATAAACTATCTCGCTCCACTGATTTTGATACCATCGTGATATTTTGCCCGACACCGATAACACAAATTCATTTCTATCTATTCGGCAACGTGAGTATATTTTCGCCAAGAAATCTGAGAAAGATATATCGCGTTTCACTCGTACGACTGTATGATGAGATTGATCATAATTCACTGACAATCCATCATAAACAATCTGGCCTCCTATGTACACGAAAACTTTGACAGTATTCCTACCCGGAGTCGCCATTGAAACCCTATATTTTAATATTTTGAGATTATTATTTTTATTTCGAAATATTTAATATTTTCTATTTCTTTTTACAGCTACAAACACTTATGTTATATTATAAATCAATTAAAACAAACACTTATATTTTCTAATTCTTTTTATAATTTGATAGTTCCAAAACTATTAATTTGTAAATTATAAATCATAAACACATTGTGTAACTCGTAATTTTTCGACATATTCATATAACACTAACCAATTAAAAACAAACAATTTGTATAAATTAGCAAACTTATCATTCAAGTAAGACTTAAATTAACCAATAAAATATTTAATTTACCTCAAAGATAATTGTAGATTTGCTAGCACCCACAATCACTACTCAATCCACCACAAGTTGAACTTCCACCTATTTATAATAATAAAAAGACCATCAAAATAAAATTTCAGCAATTATTTAAAAATGGGGAAAAAAAACACAGCTCCAAAACTACTACATTTGTACGATATAACAAATAATTACCTTCAAAATATTATTATTTGCTAGCTACAAAAATTCCTTCTCAAAACACCATAAATTAAGCTTCCACCTAGTTATAACAATAAAAAACAAAATTAAAATTTCAGCAATTAAAAATAATAATATTTTTCCAATATAACAAATAAATACCTCCAAATAATTATTATTTGCTAGCAGCGTAAATCCCTTCTCAATCAACCACAAATTACATTTCACCTAATTATAACAATCAAAACACACCAAAATTTAAATTTCAGACATTATTTAAAAGAAAAAGGATAAAAATATGTTAAATTATTAAAACATAGGATCAAAAGTGAAACTGATGTAAACTTGAGGGGCTAAAGTGTAATTTTACAATTTTCATAAATTGAAAAGAAAAGAAATAAGAATTTTGAAGTCATTGATTTTGAATTTTGACCAAACATCCATAACTTCGAACGGTTTGAAATCATGAATTTGAAATCTAAATCCTAATTATGGTAAAAAAGACGATTTATGGTCAAATTAATGGCACTAAGAAATTAATGGTAAAAAAGACGATTTATGGTCTTGTTGAGGTAATACCTATTCTAATGATGTCATGACTAATTCTACCAATTTATCCACTAACTCCACTAACTCGTATCATATTTAAACCATTACAAAAAATTTAAATTTCAGAAATTATTTAAACACAATCAAACATTCCTTCTTAAATCCACCATAAGTTAAAGTTTAACCTAAAAATAACAACGAAAAACGACAATAAAAATTTGAATTTCATAATAAATTATATATATTTTAACAATACAAGAAATAATTTATCTCCAAATTAATTGATAATTTACTAGATCAAAATTTCATTAATCCACCATTAATAAAAATTTAACAAAATTATATTAATAATTAAAATTCTATTTAACTATAATAATAATTGAAAGAGTGAAAAAAATTATCTCAATAAGTACCCTGCTGAAATTAATTAAATTACCTACATTAGTTAAAATATAAATTAAACAATAAAATAATAATTAACAAATAAAAAATGGAGAGAAGAGAAAACTTACGGTGGTGTTGGGAAGAAGGGAGCAAGGCAGCAGCAAATGTGGAAAGTTAAGGGATAAATATATATATATATATATATATATATATATATATATATATATATATATATATATATATATATATATATATATATATATATATATATATATATATATTCGGCCGAAATCACAACCGTTAGATCGAGAAGAATCGGACGGCCGCTAAAACGCGTGGTTTAAAATGACGCGTTTGACCATCTGACAGGTCAAAGCGCGTCATTCAAAATGACGCGTTTTAGCGACCGTCAGATCTTGCGATCTATCCCTGGCCGTCAGATTAGGAGGACAAGATAGGAGATCTGGCCGTCAATCTCAGCTCAATCCAACGGCTGTTAAAGCGCGTCATTCAAAATGACGCGTTTTAGCGACCGTCAGATCTTGCGATCTATCCTGACCGTCAGATTAGGAGGACAAGATAGGAGATCTGGCCGTCAATCTCAGCTCAATCCAACGGCTGTTAAAGCGCGTCATTTTGAACGACGCTTTATTGTATTTTTGTAAATAATTACAAAATGACCCCAATTCTCAAAAAAAAACCGAAATATTCTAAAATAAAAATGGCCCATTAATCGACTATTAGGTGTATGGCATAGTTGAATAATCTTATCATCTAACATATTGATACTATTAATCGACTATTTTGGGTTGTATCTACTTGTTTTTAGTACAGCTAGCTATACTGGAGGAGTGCAGACGACAAAACAACTGTTCAGATTGAAGACTTGTTCACCATCATAAGAAATAAAATGATCTTCAACGCAATAAGTAATTTTAATAATGAATTATTCTGATAAAATGCAATATGATATTGTCACACTACAATGTTTTCATAAAAAAAACCATTAAACTCCTTTTGTGAGATTTGATGATTGAGCAAGCAAGTGGCAAGTTCAAAGGTGGAGCACATCCTGACTTCGAGGGGACAAGCTATGTTTTCCTATATCTGCTTCTGGTAAGACAATTAAAACACAAACTAATCGAAAACTTCACATCATAAATATAATCAAATAATCTCGATATATGATGTTTCACAGAATGACATTAGGCATCCAAACAAAGCGGACATAACGTTTGAGCGACCCAGTATTTCGACGATTACTGATACATTATATTCCCTCTACATTCAGGTACAAATCCAAAAAATATGGTGAACCACTTCACGTTTCTTGTTCGGCAGGCAACAGGAGTCGTGGAGTTACTACAACTCATTGCGTCCGAAAGGGAAAAATGATCTGTACGATTCCACTCCCAACAAATATTTTATTGACGCAATAGACATGGTTAGCAAAACATAAAATTTAAAGCAGTATTCGATTGATATTGTACCATCAATTCTAAGTTCTTGTCTCTTATACTATGTATTTCAACAGAAGGAAGCAATGAAATTGTCTGTTGCAAAGTACAACATGCACGACAACTTCAACATGCCTATTGTGGACGTGATAGACTCCTCGCAATAAAGTAATGGAAAACACTGCGGCCTCTTTGTCTTGTACATGATCAAACAAGTCTTCTTACAATAGCCGATCGAAAAAACAAAGTACGTGAAGAAAGAAATACCGAAGCTGCGTAGGGAACTAGTGGACAAATTCTTGGAATACGGTAGAGACAAGGACTACACCAAAAAAACCAAGAAGGCTTAAAAATTGATCAAAATTAATTTTGTGTAAAAGAAAATGCATTTCACGTTTTGCTGTTGGAGAAAAACATGTATTCGTCTAATATTCTTGTTTGTGTCCAGCTTCTAATTTTTTTAGCTTATGTTTTTCCTTTGACATTACTATTGTTTTGAATGTAGTGCCTATCTAGTAATATACTTTTGGTATAAGTCTTTTGCTATTCACATTATATTCAGATTTCATTAATCGAATTTTCTGGTTTCATTAATCGACTACGTAGTCAATTCAATAACATAATACGAAAATCCAAACTGTATTATGTGAAGAAAAAAAACCCAGTAGCAGTGAAAAAACACCATTTATGCCATTAATAACATTAAACCACAAGAGAAAGAAGTTCAAGAAACAAGTCTACTAAAAACATCATAAACGGTGAAAAAATAATATCATCAACGAACACTTTTCCGGCACGTTTTCTTGTTATGGTTTCCAACTTCTTTGCAACGGCTGCATCTCATTCTTCGAGATGTAAACTCCCCATTAGAAGGGATCCTCTTCCTTTTTGGCCTGTCACGCGATGGATGATACTTCAGTGGCCAATGGCAATATGTGCAATGTTAATATCCGGTCTAACAAAGAGCACAATTAAACCAGGAAAACTTTCAACAGAGGTTGATCTATGAAATAATTTATCCATATATTTGTAACCACCGCGTACTTCTAAGAAAATCACAACAACAACATGTGCACACGGTAACCCATTAATTTGCCAAAGCCTACACGAACACACTCTCTCTCTCGCAGATCCACAACAACATCCGCCATCAATAAAACCTCATACACAGTTCGCGACGACTTCACACGTTCCCATGTCCTCCATTTATCAACTAGCTCTCTCATTCTTTTGTCAACGGATTCATTCAGCACAATTGTCCACCAATTGTCATCTCCCAGCCAGTCACTCAGTTTCTCCATCAACAAAATTCTTATCCTATCAATCAAACTAGTAATAGGCAGGTATCGTTCATCATCAACCTAAGAATTCCACGACTCACACACATTCGATGTCATTTGGTCATACCTTGCACCCTCCAAATATGCATTTGCCCACCTTTCCTTCGGAATATCGTCGAAAAAATTGCACACTTTCTTGTCGTCAGTAGCTCTCAACTTCGGGCAAATTCTTCCCTCGTTACCGCATAAGAACACTTCACAATTTATTTCAGAACCGCTTCACGATAGTTTGCAGCAGTAACCGGGTAAAACATCTGGAAAAATATGAGTTTCACTCCCTCAAGAGTCCCATGATTACGATCAGATACAATAATCAGCGACCGGTCCCGACCGCATCTCGAAAGTGGTTCAAGAACCAAGCCCAGTTGCAATCAGTTTCTTCACTTACAATTCCAAAAGCAATAGGAAACAGACCTACGAATAACAAAGAACATTAATCGACTATACATATAAGCATTCGACTATGTGTTAAAATTGCATGTTTACAGTTACCTTCATCACCATCTTTTCCCATAGCGCTCAACAGGATACCTTTGTGCTTACCCTTCAAAAAAGTCGATCAAGCATCACCACGGGGCGACATGACATGAATCCTACCAAGCAAGCCGCAAAGACAAAAATACACCGATGAAATTTTTTCTTGGACTCCTCAATATCCAAATGGAATAGTCTACCAGGGTTGGTCCTCTCAACTTGTACAGAATACGATGGCAAGTATGTGTACGATCCGTTGTGATCCCGAAATATCCTGCTTCGACCCACATCAGTAGATCTCCACGC